TGGAGCCAGGGGCCATGACCTTCAGCAGATTCCCAATGGGAAACCCACCTCCCAACTATGTTGAAGACCTGAAAGCTGGAGTGGTTCTTCTCTCAGCAGTCCTTCCAGCTCCTAACATTATAAAGACAGAAGCCCCTACAAACTCAGCCAGACCCCCACACTTTTAGATGTTGGACTTCCTCTGATCCTTGAAATGGCTACCCTGAGAACACGGCCCCGGGGCTTCCTCCAAAAGGGAGCTGCAAAGAGGGAGTCCCATTCTAGCTCCATTTCTAGGTGTTTTGCTCAAATTGACACTTTTTCCCTATTGAAAGAGAAAATTCGGGTTGGGCATGGTGGCTCATGCCTGTAATTCTAGCACTTTGGGAGGCAGACAGATCACCTGAGGTCAGGAGTTTGAGACCAGCCTGGCCAACATGGCAAAACCCTGTCTCTACTAAAAATACAAAAATTAGCCAGGCGTGGTGCTGCATGACTCTAATCCCAGCTACTCAGGAGGCTGAGGCAGGAGAATTCCTTAAACCCAGGAGGCAGAGGTTGAAGTGAGCTGAGATTGTGCCACTGCACTCCAGCCTGGGAGACAGAATGAGAGACTCTGTCTCAAAAAAAAGAAAAAGAAAGAAGGGAAGGGAAAGGGGAAGGAAAGGGAAGGGGGAAGGAAAGGGAAGGGGGAAGGAAAGGGAAGGGGAAGGAAAGGGAAGGGTGAAGGAAAGGGAAGGGAGAGGAGGGGAGGGGAGGGGAGGGGAGGGAAGGGAAAGAAAAGAAAAGAAAGAGAAAATTCGTAAAGGAGGGACCCTGTCTTCACTGTGCCTTGGTTCGATTCTTGGTTATGAGTGGTTCCATGGTGGTGGAGGCTGCTGATGGAAAAGGGAACAGAGGGTTGAGGGATTTTTGCTGAAAATCTAGAGATTACTTAGAAGCCCCCATATTTCCTGGGCCCCAGAAATGATTGGATCCAAATGGGCTTGTGAGGAATTTTGAAATTTTGAATTTCACCTGAATTTTGGATGTGATTTTTCTCTATCGTGTGCACAGAGGCGGAGAGAGGCTCTTTCCCTTAGGATTTTGTGAATCTTGTCTTTAACTCATTGCCCAAAGTAGCGAACTCATTTTACTGACTTCAGAAAAAGACATCACCAGCCTGGCCTGGGAATAACACATGGGAAACTGAAGACAGTAGTATAATTAAGTTCACAAAAGGCCAATTCTTACGGCCATATTTCAAATGCTCACAACGCCTTCTCATCCATTCTACCAAATGACTTGGCTTCATAATATATTCAGAGTGAAAAAACATAATGGATTCTTCTGAGATATTCAATTAGTTCAATAAAAAGAGAAAAATAATTTTTCAATAAAGAAATTTAGCTAAATGACTAAAGCTGACAGTGAAAAATCAACTTCAAAGTAATTATGCATTTCTTTTGAGTTTGCGCTCTAACAAAAGTTGATGATATGCCACGATTAGAAATAGCCATCCTTCAAATGATTAATTGCATTTGTGTTGCTACTTTAGCAGACATTTATTTGAATGTTTACTCTATAACTGTCTTCGGGTGTTGATATATTTAAATTTCCACCAGCCCTGCTGAAAAGTATCCGCTCGTGCTTCTTCATGACTCACTGCTCAACTTCCTTTAAGCTGGTTTTTTCCCCATTAATGGAAACCTCTTCCAAAAATGTCACCAGTAACATTCTCCTTGCAAAATCCCATTACTTCTCTTTACTTCTAATCCTTGTGGGGGTCATGACTCCTCTCCCAATTCTCTCCTGTAAAAGTAGCATCTGCTGTTTAAACTTTGGGGTCTCTCAGGATTCCGTATTCCACCCCTCTGGCATTCTGAACTTTCACCTTGGGTAACCACTTTGTTAGAGAAGTTTCAAAGGCATCTATGTGTTGATGACTTCCCAACCCCTAGCCTGGGCACTTCCGCCAAGCTGCACACGTCTGCGCAGGCGCATTGAATTCGACGGGCCATTAGCACAGTCAAGGCTGAACTGCTGGTCTTCCCACTTCCCACTATACTCTGCTCTTCTTCGGGCAGCCTCGTCTGAGTGCTTGATCACCTAGACAAGACACTGCTTTCCTGCTCCAGCTGCACGCGTCATGCCTCTCTTCATCCGTGGCTGGCCCGCCTGCCTGCAGTGTCTCACATTTCCTATCAATACAATTGTGTGCTTTCTGAAAATAAGTCAGGTCCGATTGTTCCTGGATCACTGCCTTCCTGGAAAGCCTCTGCACTCTGTAGAATCAGTACAGGCCCCTCCTGATGCTACTCAAGGCCCTCCAGAAGCCCATGCTACCATCAGTGCCCTCAGCTCTGGAGGAGCAGCTCCACCACGGCACCCCACGACTTTGCATGTAGAGCCACATGGGGAGGGTGTGACCTGCAGCTGCGCTGAGTCTTGGCAGAACACCCTGCGGTCCCCCAGCCAGTTTCTCGTTGCCTTCCGGGTTCTATGAGGTGCAGGGGCTTTCTGCCTGCCCCTCTCAGGGCACAGCTGCTGCTATAAAACTGCTGAGAAGCAGCTTGGAGTTGGCTCTACTGCAACATCCCTTCTTTCTGTTACAGTTGTCCAGTCCCTTTTATTTTGCCGTGACCTGCACCAAGGCCACAATGCCCATGCCTCCTTTTACTGTCTAAGTAATAAACCGTCTGCATCTGAAGAGGTCTCCTTGTTTCTTCGCCAGGACTTGCCTGTGTCCTGTATGCCAACTTCGAATACTCTCTACCCTTCTAACCCCCATGTAACCCGATAGCCTAACTGCAAACTTAATGTCATTTCCAAACATAAATATAGTACAAGATAAAATAAAATTATACTTGGAAGTCTGGCTAAGTGAAAATAAGGATTAGAAAAAGGAAACCAAGCCATAGGTTAGGTTAGTACTGTATCGTATTACCTTATTAAACTGATAAGAACAGATCTACACTTGGTCTTAGCCAAAACCGTATTACCTTATTAAACTGATAAGAACAGATCTACACTTGGTCTTAGCCAAAACGCCAAGAAACGATTGTACTACTGAATAAAATTATGGTGCTGTCATTTTAGAGGTGCTTCAAATTCTTTTGGGAATAAGGCAAATCTGTATACTTAAAATGTGTGATCTATGAATTTGGCTCTAACCTTTCTTGCAGAAAATTAGAAATTACTAACAGATGGTTTGTCCCAAGAGCAAACCTCTAATGCACAAATGATTGAAAATGAATTCAGAGAAAACTTAAATAAAGGCAATCTGAGTTTTATTAACATTAAACACCCTTTCTTTAAGTGAAAGGCATTATTAGGGCCAGGTGCAATGGCTCATACCTGTAATCCCAACACTTTGGGAGGCCAAGGCAGGTGGATCTCCTGAGGTCAGGCATTCGAGACCAGCCTGGCCAACATGGTGAAACCCCATCTCTACTAAAAATACAAAAATTAGCTGGGCATGGTGGTACACACGTGTTACCCTAGGTACTTGGGTGGCTGAGGCATGAGAATCGCTTGAACCCAGGAGGCAGAGGTTGCAGTGAGCCGAAACCGCACCACTGCACTTCAGCCTGGGCGACAGAGCAAGACTCTGTCTCAGAAAAAAAAAAAAAAAAAAAAAAGAAAAGAAAAGAAAGACATCATTAGATTGGTGATTATGAGGGTCATTATCTTAAAATAGTATTTCCTAAAATGAAAAACATTTCAGGAAGTAGCTGAAGTATTAGGAAAAAAACAAGGCTTTAAAAATAAGATTGAATGATGATTGCTTCTATGTCCCTGTAGCCAGCTGGTGATCTCATTTCTCATCACTAACGCACCTTCCTAAATCTGTCCTGTCCAGCAGGGTCAGCCATCCCAGCCCCCAGTAGCACCATCGGCCATCTGAGACTCTTTTTCAGCCCCAGAAGAAAATCTCTCAGATTGAATCTTTCCTTCTTTAGTCAACTCCCTAGTTAGAGGAGAGCTACAGCAGGGAACCGTGCTCATCTCTCATGGAGACTCCATCCTCCCCCTACCACCAACATGTGTGAATACCTGGCTACTTATGTAAAAGATTTAATTTGGTAAATGAGGAAAAGTCATATTTATCTCCATTCTTTGAATAGATTTCAGTGTGTGAGAATGACTTTTTAGTGTGTCAGAAGCTTGGTATTCTAAGGGTAAAGTATTAAGCCTAAAGAACTTCAATCAATAGTCTTAAGGCCAGGCGCGGTGGCTCACGCCTGTAATCCCAGCACTTTGGGAGGCCGAGGCAGGCAGATTACGAAGTCAGGAGTTTGAGACCAGCCTGGCCAACATAGCGAAACCCCATCTCTACTAAAAATACAAAAAATTAGCCAGGCGTGATGGTAAGCACCTGTAGTCCCACCTACTCAGGAGGCTGAGGCAGGGGAATCGCCTGAACCCAGGAGGCGAAGGTTGCAGTGAGTCGAGATTGCACCATTGTACTCCAGCCCGGGTGACAGGGTGAGACTCCATCTCAAAAAAAAAAAAAAAAAAAAAAAAAAAGTCTTATATATGATAAATGGGTTTGTAAACCACTAAACTTTGTACCAAAAAAAATCTGTTATTGTTAATCTTGTTTGCAACTATTAATAATAACTGAGAAATGGGCTGGGCATGGTGACTTACGCCTGTGATCACAACATTTTGCGTGTCTGAGGCAGGAGGATTGCTTGAGGCCAGGAGTTTGAAATCAGCCTGGGCAACATAGTGAGACTCTGTTTCTACAAAAAATACAAAAATTATCCTCTGAGATGCAAACGCTAAGCCGGGTGTGGTGGCGTGCGCCTGTGGTCCCAGTTACTTGGGATACTGAGGTGGTAGAATTGCTTGAGCCCAGGAGGTTGTGGCTGCAGTGAGCCTTGATCACACCACTGCATTCCAGTCTGGGTGATAGAGTGAGACCCTGTCTCAAAAAATAAGATAAGTGCAAGATAAGTTTACAATGTAAAAAGTACTATGGTAAATTGCTCTCGCATATACCAGTTGCATACCAACATCTTCCCTTTTTCCCACAGGCAACCCTCCTGCTACGGGCACTGGGACTTTGCTGATAACACTGGAGGACGTGAATGACAATGCCCCCTTCATTTACCCCACAGTAGCTGAAGTCTGTGATGATGCCAAAAACCTCAGTGTAGTCATTTTGGGAGCATCAGATAAGGATCTTCACCCGAATACAGATCCTTTCAAATTTGAAATCCACAAACAAGCTGTTCCTGATAAAGTCTGGAAGATCTCCAAGATCAACAGTAAGTCTAGCTAAAGCATTTCTCCCTGTTCTTCCAGCTTTCAGTTTAGTTTCTCTTCCCAAAATGCTCTTTCTCTACTATTCTCTCATGTATTCTCATTTGGTTCATTTTAAGTTATTGGCTTATTATAAACACTGACAATTTTCCCACCAACAAACAAATGCAATGTATCTGTTTCAAACATAGATGTTTTCTCTTCTGCTTCCTCTCTGATGTTTTCTGTACTGTACACCGTGTGTTGTATATGCTAACCTGTCTGCTACATACACCACATACTATAACTCCAATATTCTCTCTTTAAAATTTTAATATATTTAGGGGGCACAACTGCAGATTTCTTATATACATACATTGATTGCATAGTGGTGAAATCTAGGATTTAAGTGTCCCCATCACCCAACAGTGAACTTTCTCTTAACTAATCTGTAGTTTCTGCCATCCCAGAGTTCCCAGCAACGAGACTGTGATTCTTTGTTCTTCCTCTTTCTCTTTTAATTAAACTCCACAGATTCTTTCTTTGTAACTAGCTTACGAAGAATATTGGCCAACCTGCCCAGTCTCAGCAGTCTCTGCTTCTCCCCAGCTATCTCTTGGCTCAGCTCTTTCTCCAATCTCAGAGACAGAGAACTGTGTTAACATTAACTTTCACCAGCGCGTTGGAGAGACTTTTCGTGGTATACTTGCCATCATAAATGACTAAAGGAAAGAGAAGCACTAGGATAAGAATCTTTATAGTCTTCAACCTCCAACCTTCCATAGTATGCTGCAGACCTCCTCATACTTGACTTGGTCTAATGATGATCTTGACTTTTCTTTCAAATCCTTGGCCATCATTGACTTTGATGTCTTCTTCCATGCATCTTCTTTCTCCTTTATGAAACTTGCAAGCAATGTCTCCTTCCACCAGTCCTTCCACATAGGCAGGTAGAAGTCAAAACTTAACCCAGCTTGTATCACTTGCCTTATTAAGACTGAAACACCAATGTATTAATATGGAGTATCCTTATATTCACAATCTCACCCACCTTCTTCCCCAAATGTAAACTAACTACTAAGTTCACCTTGTCTTCCAATACATTAAAGAAAAAATAAACAAAAAAAAAGGCATTAGATACTATGTCTTCAATAATATACTTATCCTGCTGTTGACCCAGTCAGGGTTCCCACTTTTTTTTTTTTTTTTTTTTTTTTTTGAGACGGAGTCTTGCTCTGTAAACCGGGCTGGACTGCAGTGGCCGGATCTCAGCTCACTGCAAGCTCCACCTCCCGGGTTTACGCCATTCTCCTGCCTCAGCCTCCTGAGTAGCTGGGACTACAGGCGCCCGCCACCTCGCCCGGCTAGTTTTTTGTATTTTTAGTAGAGACGGGGTTTCAGCGTGTTAGCCAGGATGGTCTCGATCTCCTAACCTCGTGATCCGCCCGTCTCGGCCTCCCAAAGTGCTGGGATTACAGGCTTGAGCCACCGCGCCCAGCCGGTTCCCACTTCTTATATAGGTGGTAGAAGTTTTGAGGGAGACAGAGAATTACCCATTTCATTAGATTTTGCCTAATGTACAATTGTGCATAACATTTTCTATTTAAAAATCTCATATCTATTGTTATAGCCCTATCTCATATCTTATTTTATTAGTGCCTTTTGCTTGTTATTGATTCTATTTGCCTGTTTGTCTATTTTATTGCTTTTTGAAGAATGAATTCTGTTACACTGATTATTTTTAATTAAAACAGCCCTTCTCTTGTTTGAAGGGTTACTGTTTTATTTGCTAGTTTTTATGGCTGTGGCCAATTTGAATAAACATCTCCAAATCTTTCCAATCGGAACTTTCTCATTCAAGAGTTTCTTTTGGCGGGGGGTGGTGGAGGGGGTGAACATCAGGATAAATAGTCAATGCATGCTGGGCTTAATACCTAGGTAATGGGTTGATGGGTGCAGCAAACCACCATGGCACATGTTTACCTACGTAACAAACCTGCACATCCTGCACATGTACCCCAGAACTTAAATTTAAAAAAAGAGAGAGAGAGAGAGTTTCTCCTCTGCTCAAGGAAGATGGGAAAATGCTGTTTGATTTCATCTGCCAGCTCACTAGGTGACCATCACATTAGTCATTGCTGCTGCTGTCACCTTCTGGTAATGATCATGCTTCATCTATTTTTATTTTCCTGTCATTACACTCTTGTTTTTTTCTCCTGGTTTTACCTAATGGAAAAAAAAATGCCTTCTAAATGATTTTGTTGTCTCACACTTTTTTTCCTGAATATTTAGCCCTGTTTATTCCCAGAAAGGGGCACTTAAAAATATGTATGCCCCTAATCATGTCAGTGGCTTTATCCCAAGGTTAAACAATAGGCCAGCTGGTACAGCCACTGCCAAGTGTCTCCCAAGGGCCTGGGTGATCGTGGCTATCGCCAATGCATATGACATTAGGGAAGTGGAGGGGAAGCTTAAAGATCCAGTGTCTATGTTGCGGGTTCCCACCCAAATCTAGAGCTGTGGACTGAGGGTTGATTAAAAACCAAAAACAAGGCTGAACACAGTGGCTCATGCCTGTAATCCCAGCATTTTGGGAGGCTAAGGCAGGCAGATCACCTGAGGTCAGGAGTTTGAGACCAGCCTGCCCAATATGGTGAAACCCCATCACTACTAAAAATACAAAACTTAGTGGGGCATGGTAGCATGTGCCTATAATCCCAGCTACTCGGGAGGCTGAGGCAGGAGAATCGTTTGAACTCAGGAAGCGGAGGTTGCAATGAGCCGAGATCACACCACTGCACTGCAGGCTGGGCAACAGAGTGAGACCCTGTCTCAAAAAAAAAAAAAAAAACTGAAAGCAAAAAACATAGGCTATAGAACCCATCTCCATGATAACACATCAGGGTCCTGCCCACGTTGAGAGCAGGTGGATTTTCACCTCAGCTTTCTAGATGTGGAACGCAATCTTTGCCAAGATGGCTTTTTCATGTAATAAATTTGCAGGGAGGAGTTCTTGGTCATCAATCATCTTCATGAAAGGAGCTCTCCTTGAAATTGATTATGATGGCGCTGAGGCACCGAACTCTGGTGATGGAAGCACTTTGTCTCTCTGCTGTTCATTACAGGAGCCACCGGCCATGTGTGGCTTCTGGGCGCTTGGAATGTGGCAGGTGCCACTGAGGATCTGAACTGGTATTTTCACTTGATGTTAATAAATTTAAATTTAAGCATTCCCATGATTATAAATGAAAATGCAGCACCTGTTTGGTGTGATTTTAGTCACCAAAACCTCACTCTTTTATTGGAAAAAGTCTCATCCACTCTCACCAGGACCCTCCTTGCCTTTACAGATACACACGCCCTGGTAAGCCTTCTTCAAAATCTGAACAAAGCAAACTACAACCTGCCCATCATGGTGACAGATTCAGGGAAACCACCCATGACGAACATCACAGATCTCAGGGTACAAGTGTGCTCCTGCAGGAATTCCAAAGTGGACTGCAACGCGGCGGGGGCCCTGCGCTTCAGCCTGCCCTCACTCCTGCTCCTCAGCCTCTTCAGCTTAGCTTGTAAGTTGGCATAACTCCAGTGCATGCACAAGTAGGAAATTGTAACTTCATGGGGTTCATGAAGCCGGCATTTTTCCATATACCTTTCCAAGAAAATGTATCCCAGAAGAATCATTCATCTTCAGTGTATGTCTGTATGATAGAACATGTTATATGTAGAAGTGCTCCCACTAATGTTTAAAGGCATCTTAACAATCCCTTCCAGCCAGTCTGAGGAATTGCGCAAAGGTGTTCATTGGTAGCCTGCAAACCAGGCGGTAAGCAAAACTTCCTACAGCTGCCACTCAACTTGAGCTAATGAAAATGCACCCAGATTAGTTAACTGGTCTATCAGAGGCCTGTTCCTCTCTACATTATGCGGAATAATCTTTTGCAAGGTTAAAACAGATAGGATGAGACTTTCTGAGAATAGTCATGAGAATTTATGGATGGAGGTTGGGCTGCAGGGAAAATGATCAATGCGTAATTCACACTGTGTTTTCACTGGCTAGTAGTAATGACGATAATATAATGAAACGTTGTTTTAAACAAATGAGTTATTATGCCAAGTAATATAGATGTGAGGATAAAATGAATAAATACATGTGTCAGATAGTCCTGCTTTATGAAATACTAGTCCAGTTTTAACTTTAGCAGTTATCCATATCTAACTGTTACCTTTCAAAAGCCATTTGGGCCTTGCTATTTACCTTTTGAGAAGGTATTGGTGTAATTGCAAATTAGGAAGTTGGGAAATTGGCAGAAAAAGAAAACAGAAGGTTTTATACCCTAGTGACAGTGGTGAGCTGCCAGGAAATCATATAGTCCAACATTGGACACTCATGTGTATAAAGCTCTGGGCAAGACCAGAGTCCTGTGAGTAGAAGGAAAGAGAAGGACTGGGCATGGTGACTCACACCTATAACGCCACCACTTTGGGAGGTCAAGGTAGGTGGATCATTTGAGGTCAGGAGTTCAAGACCAGCCTGGTCAACATGGTGAAACCTTGTGTCTACTAAAAATACAAAAATTAGCCAGGCATGGTGCCATGCACCTATAGTCCTAGCTACTCGGGAGGCTGAGGCAGCAGAATTGCTTGAACCCAGGAGGTGGAGGTTGCAGTGAGCGGAGATCGTGCCATTGCACTCCAACCTGGGTGACAGAGCGAAACTCTGTCTCAAAAAAAAAAAAAGAAGGAAGGAAAGGAAGGAAAGGAAGGAAAGGAAGAAAGGAAGAAAGAAAGCCATTATAGCATCTCACTAGCCCTTCAGACTGGGCATTTCTGAAAGTGAACGTATCATCTTCCCCTGCTGACCTGCCCCTCTGCCTGCCTTGCCTCTGATGACTGTACCACCACCATCATCATCACCATCATCTCCATGTCTCCTTCCCAATCTTCCCACCGCAAAGCCCAACAGAGTCTAAGGGTCCAACACTTTGCATCCATACCTGCCTCCACCCTCCTGTCTCAGGTGCTAATGTTTACTTAACCTCGATTATCTCACTGGCTTTCTAACTTTCTCTTCTGCAAAGAGAGAGAGAAAATAGAAATCAGGAGGCTGCCCCTCGGAGGCTTCTCCTGAGTCTTTTCTGTAAAGTAGAGACAATTTCAGATGAAGGGATAGAGATAGGACTGGGGGCTGGGAAGAAATTAGGAAACCTTGTCAAAGGGCAAATAATTCGACTGTACAGCAATTGGGCTGAACGTTGAGCAGGGGTGGTCCAGAGGAGACTGGATACTGTCTTAGTCCATTCGGGCTACTATAACAAAATACTATAAACTGGGTGGCTTATAAATAACAGAAATGTATTGCTGATCGTTCTGGAGGCTGAGAAGTCCAAGAACAAGATGCTGGCAGATTCATTGTCTAGTGAAAGCCCACATTTTGGTTCACATATGGCGCCTTCTCCCTGCATTTTCACACGATGGGGAGAGGCAAGGCAGCTCGCTGGGGCCTCTTTTATAAACGCACTCATCCCATCCCATCCATGAGGACTCTGACTTCCTGACCTGCTGATTTCCCAAAGGCCCACCCTCCTAATACCATCACCTTGGGGATCAGGTTTCAGCATATGACTTTTGGAGGGGCACAAACTTCAGCAGATACTGTTAACCACCCAGTTTATAGTATTTTGTTATAGTAGCCTGAACGGACTAAGACAGTATCCAGTCTCCTCTGGACCACCCCTGCTCAACGTTCAACCCAATTGCTGTACAGTCGAATTATTTGCCCTTTGACAAGGTTTTCTAATTTCTTCCCAGCCCCCAGTCCCCTCTCTATCCCTTCATCTGAAATTGTCTCTACTTTACAGAAAAGACTCAGGAGAAGCCTCCCAGGGGCAGCTTCCTGATTTCTATTTTCTCTCTCTCTCTTTGCAGAAGAGAAAGTTAGAAAGCCAGTGAGATAATCGAGGTTAAGTGAACATTAGCACCATACCATAGTAGATACCATGAATTTATAGCAGCACGTGATGCTTGTTTGCCCCCTTGCTTTGCTGACAGATATCCTAGACCTAGATTTCTAGAGTGTAGGAATGTTCCCTTTGCGAGAGTGTACTCTCTGGGGCCTGGTTTGCTGACTCATTGCCAGCAACCTGCAAGTCACTCTTGTATAGCATCAGCTGGGGATATGGTGGTGGATCTCAAGTCTGGCTGCACAATAGAAGCACCTGGGGAACTTTTCAATATAGCTACCCATACCCAGGCCCTACCCTATGACTGGAAGGGCAGCTCAGACATTTGTCCGTTTTAAAGCCTCTCCAGATGGTCCACAGATACCGGGAAATCAGGACCATCCTGGTGAGTGACTCCAAGCTTTAGGTACAGGCTCCTGGACATTCTAACAGTGTCCTCCAATCTTGTCCACACCCTAAACATGTGCTGGTTCCTTCAGTTCACAACTCAATAGGAAACTGGTGGAGGAGGGTAAATTTCAGAATATAAATGTGAAGCTGTTTGCTACTGATGGTGCCAGGTTTCCCCCAGGGAGGAGGGCACAGTGAGATGAGAGAACACATCTAATATGAGAATTTCTATAGCACCAACTTTCCAAAAAGTGTTTCAGAAGCTTACAGAATTAAAACGTGAACAAGACAGGAAGTTAAACTTGACAAGAAAGAGAAACCAACTAGGAAGAGTTGGGGATGGAGCTGACTGACACTAAATTTGGCCTGAGCTGCTTGTTGGCTTGCCGTACACACTTGCCGCTGTGTGATAAGAGCAGCGTGTTAATTGCACTGGTAGTTCCTAAATGCTGTTGCACATCAGAACCACTTAGGAAACATTTTTAAAATGCTAATTTCTGGGCTCAGTGCTGGATTACGACTTGAGGTTGGGGAGTAGGGGGTTGGGAAATGGAAGTGAACGGACGCATGGACAGACAGGTGGCTAAATGAAAGGAAACATGTATTTCTCCCTCTTTTCTTTTGTTCTTTTTTTTCCTTCATCTTTCTTTTCTGTTTATTTGTTTGTTTATTTATTTGAGACAGCGTCTCACCCTGTCGCCTAGGCTGAAGCACAGTGGCACAATCTCAGCTTATTGCAACCTCCACCTCATGGGTTCAAGTGTTTGTCCTGCCTCAGCCTCCCAGGTAGCTAGAATTACTGGCAAGCGTCACTGCGCCCGGCTAATTTTTATATTTTTAATAGAGACGAGGTTTCACCATGTTGGCCAGGCTGTTCTCCAACCCCTGACCTCAGGTGATCTGCCTGCCTCAGCCTCCCAAAGTGCTAGGATTACAGGTGTGAGCCACCACACCTGGCCCCTTACTTTCAAATAAAATATTACAGGCAAAGGTAAAATGTTTCTCTGCCCAATTTTATTTTCTGTTCTCTCTCCTCAGAAACAATAGTTACCATGAATTGGCTATTCATGTGCATGTCCAGATGTTTTTATACTTTTACTACACACAAACTCACACATACACACACTCACATTCACACATAACACATACAGTTCTATTTTGTGCAGTTTGTAAAACCTCCTGTAATTCATATTATATTGGGCATAGCATTCCGCGACTTACTTTTCTTCCTCCCTGTGTTACATTCACAAGGTCCATCCATGTTGCTCTAATTCAGCACTCAGCAAACTTTTTCTCTAAAGGGCCAGATGGCTTTGTGGGCCATATTAGTCTCTGTCACATATTCATCTTTATTGTTTGTTTGTTTGTTTGTTTCTGTCTTTTGTACCACCCTTTAAAAATGTGAAAACCCTTCTTTGCCTGGGACCTATCCAAACACGGACTTGAGGTTAGAGTCAGCCCACAGCCTTCCTTGGCTGAACCCCACTCTGCTCCATTTATTCTGACTGCTGGAGGATCCTGTCATTTGAATATGGTGCAGTGGATTCCCTTATCAGCAGACACATTAGAATCATTTACTATGACCAGCGCTACCACAGTAAGAGATCTCCATTTTCCACCAGCTCCTGGAGTGACTGCTAGACAGACCACAAGCCCAGCACCGCCCAAGGACCAGCACTTAGAAGCCACTGCTGTACAAGCAATGCTTGCATCCAGGTGTGGTGGCTCACCCCTATAATCCCAGCACTTTGGGAGGCCAAGGCAGGCGGATCACTTGAGGTCAGGAGTTCAAGACCAGCCTGGCCAACATGGCAAAACCCCATCTCCACTAAAGATACAAAAATTAGCCAGGCATGGTGGCAGGCACCTATAATCCCAGCTATTCGGGAGGTTGAGGCAGGAGAATCGCTTGACCCTGTGAGGCAGAGGTTGCAGTGAGCCAAGATCATACCACTGCACCCCAGCCTAAGCGACAGAGCAAAAAACAACACTTTCAGAGGTCCAGGAGCAATTGGAACTCAAGTATAACAGAGTTGGGATACATTGGAGAGCAGTACTTCCTGTGTGATTGCAAAGAGATAAAAATTCTATGTGTGTGCAGTGGGAATGCATATGCACATTTACATGTATGTGGTGTGTGTGCACGCACATGTGTGTACACAGAAAGAAGACAATTGAGGGGGTCACGTCACACATCGCCCTCTGTAAATCCAATT